TGTGGTTCAACCTTAAATCTAATCAAAGCAAGCAGCACCACAACATTTGTGTGTTGGAAAACCAGAGACTAGGGCATGGCAAGTCATAGACATGGTATTAGAGATAGAAACAGGATAGACGCGGCGATTGGAGCTATTTGGCTGACAGTAGGTTCTATAAGAGATGTGGTCCATGTGGCTTTAGCCTCGAATTAGTAACCCAGACGCAGAAGCGTGAAAATAGCGCCTCAAGTGGCACAGATGGGGTGGCAAGGGTCGAGTGAAATATGTGAACCAAGGCGAGGGCAGACGGATCTTACGGGGCAAGAGAGAGACTGTGGCAAGACCTATGGAAGGAGGACTGCGTAACAATATGGCATACTATGATCAACATTCCCAGCACAAGGATGAAGGGTGGTGAAAAGGCCAGTGTGGAGTGCGGAGGGTTTTCATGAAAGCCGCTTAAAAGGGCACACCGTACCACATTTAATTAAGCAAGTAAAAAATTGTGACAGTGAAGGCGTGATAGGATGATATAGGAAATGTGAATAGCCCAGAGCAGATGGGAAATACCACAACTGTTTAGCACACGTTTGGTCAAAGGATAGGCTTACTTGTCTCTTTTGACGAGTTGTGATATGATGCTAAGACTGGCGATACTCACTGACGATGCCGACCTCCATGCCGGAGAAACGTCTATGGATGTACCACGTCCACGGTCCCACTTTGGAAATGATGATGCATACAATGGACTCCGGACTAGGTGCGTTTCTTCAAGTCTTTCTACCAATATGACAAAGTTTCGAAAACAGGGTCAAACAACTTCTATAGTTTATTCTTGCCTTCGCCCCATTAATCAATTCAACAAGGTACCCTTTTTGCCAGTGAAACCAACTCTAGCATAAAAGTTAACTAATGTCAGTATTATGCAATAGCTTGCTTTAATTATACATTTCGATTAAGGGGTGCCTAACGCTCTGCTCCATTGACTCGGTAGACTGGACATTATTTTTACTTCCTCTTTCAGTTGCACATGGTGGTGATATCGGCATCATGTTATTCAAGTCTTCCAACCTGGTGGGACTTTGTAATCATTGCATTCGGTTGAGTGCAGATGTTGAAAATCAGGTGAATCTATATTTTTATCTAAAGCTTTTCTTACGTCTGGTTCGTACTTAAGGCTGGCCGATGAGCCTTTAACTAAGCGGCTGTGTACAAGCTTTGTCTACTCGCCTTCATTAAATTCAATTGGATTTGAGTAAAATGAGCACCTATAATTCTTAATTGGTTCAAGCCAAGTACCCTCGATATCTAATTGGAATATTTAAGTCATCGTCCTAAAGATTCAGCATAGAAAAGTACAAGGATAGGCATGATTCTAAAAACGCTTCAGACCTATTGGAATTTTGTTCTACCTCAAGTTGCCAGGACCTCCAAATTGACGACTCTAACTAAATTGCCTAGCCAATGGTTATTTATGTAACAGTAGGCAAGCGTCCGCTTATAACCAAGAAAAAAGATATAAATGATTTATCTACTTAAAACATTAATAATATATTTAATACGAAGATGGATTGGGGGATCGAAATTAAAAAGATATTTTATATGAATCTTTCTTATGGATACATTGAAAATATGTTATTAGACAAAATTTGGTTTGAAGAAGGGGCTCAAAGTCCCAATTCATCGTGGTTGGTAAAACCTTACCGGAAATACTGCAGAATTTTATTTTCCAGAATGTTCAAGTGTTGTCCATAGGCAGGATCACATATAAGATAGGAAATACAAGCACCTTGAAATGAGTGCACTGAAAGGTTAGGATATAGGGGATGAGAAAAATCAAGCTTATTTTGTTATACCCAATAGGTTGTATTCATACAAAGATGCGAATCCATGTTTTCGCCAAAATCTTGGAGTGCTATCTGTATAATTCGTAATTATATTAGAATGACATTCTGTAAAGCCACACGGCTTCACTATACTTTCTTCTTGACCTAATAATTTACACTTAAGTCCCTTGATTTTTATCTTCAGTCTGGTCATTGAAGGAACCTTCCAGTGTCCTGTTGCATAATTAAGTTCTGTGGGGATCCGGAAGTACTTAATAGCAAGCAGAGGTTAGAGTTGAGCAGTCGAAGACTCCAATTTCAAGCCAAATTAATTATCCTCCTTGTGCTCTGAAAGCGCTCTTCCAAAAAGAATAGGGCTTATTTAGTTACCCACATATGACTAGTAATATTAAAAATTTATATAGAGACTACGGTTTATCAGGCAGCTAAGGGAACAGAGGGATTTGAGCATTTTCAAATTAATTTTCATCAATAATTACGCTACTAAAAGACGTTAAAAATAGTTTAACTGTTTGACATATATCTTTCTAGATGATCTCAGTTGAACGTGTGCTTAAATACGCAGAGCTTGATCCAGAGGAATCAGAGCCTATACAAGATGCAATCGAGACGTTGGATGAACCAGAAAATAAGTCAAAGCCCCCAAAATACTGGACAACAGAGGGTCGCTTGGAGTTTCAGAATGTTTGGCTAAGATATCGTCCCTACAGCAACTTTGCTCTTAAGGGTATCAACGTAAAGATTCCAGCTGGGTTCAAGGTACAAACTTTTACCTATATCCGACATTTATAATTTTAGCCAAACACTTGGACACTTATTGGTTTAGGCAAAATGCAAAACAGACTTTCTCCAATCACCTCGGTCTTTGGCACGCTCATATATTAGCACAGTGCTATTGCATTACCTAGACCAACTTTTCGAAGGCTTTATAATATATAAATGGGATTGCAAACTCCTTATATAATGATTTTACTGGTCGTTTGCATTGATTATCTGAACTTTGTTTCCCTGAAAATATTTTTTCCGACATAAGTTTAATCGAATTCATAATGGGGTATGATTAAAGCATTATCCCCCCAAAAAATATTTCCCTTATTTATTATGGGATTGAAAGGCACAAAAAATGTATGATCGACTAAATATAAAGGATATTTTAAGTTGATGATGGTAAGTTGCTGAAACCTAACCGATATTAGGAACTGGTTCGCGTCAAACGATGAAGTAATTCAAGCACCTACATCTTTCATGATAAAATTTAAGAGTGATTATAAGGTGTGAATCTTCAGTATGTCTTTTCGAATAAAGCCTGGCGATACAGATCGAATGTGGAGTAACGCAGCTTTCTTGAGTCCGCAGGAAGATACTAAACTTGAAGTTACCAATTTGGGATTTCCCCATTTTATTCAAGATAGGTGAAACGAGGCCTAGTAAACATTTATAAACAGCGTCTCTAATGTAAAAGCAAGTGTAAAAAATTTTAATCTTCTTCTTTGAGGCGGTGATTGATGATTGAGTCAAAAAGTTTGGGGTTTAAAACTCCTGCTCCTTTCAAATCTATGCGCTAAAGTGGCCCAGGTTGACTAAGTACTGATTCATGAAATACACATAGTCTCGAAACTGACCGGTATTTGAAATACATTCCGAAAACTGTAAACTATTTGAAGCCCAATTCAAAGTACAGATTTAATTTGACTACATCGTTCAATGGACACCATATGAAATTACTATAACTATTGCATAGACATCAAAATGGAGTCAATTTGTTAGGTGTTTTGCTGAAAAGAAGATCATTGTTCGCCGGAAGGATAATTATTTTATTGCGAGCTTACTTTATCACTAGAATAAGTAGTAGATGTAGCATGTATCAGAGGAAGATTGTATAAAGAGCTATTTTACACAAAAGTTAATACTTTTCAAGAAATCGTAGGTAGAATTTCAACCCATTCTCCGTATCCGGATAAAGTTAATTCTGTATATACACTTGTCAATCTTAAATTTCTTCGCATACGCCTAAATCTATTGCATTTCTGTGTACTCATAAAGGTTGGTATCATTGGACCTTCAGGTGCTGGAAAAAGCAGTCTTATATCAGCACTCTTCCGACTCGTGGAGGCTGAACGTGGCCGCATTTTCATCGATTCTGTAGATATTTCAAGCCTTCCGTTGAGTGTTCTGAGACGCCGCCTTTCAATAATTCCCCAGGTATGCTATTCATTACGTTAAACTAAGGGACGAGTTTCGTCCTAAAGTATTAAAATATACGCGCATTGGTGGCAATATAAATTAAATGTAGAAGAATACATTTACCTATTCGTTGTCTTGCAGTTTTGGTCAAACCTTATATTTGATTTTGCACGTAGCCAACTTTCCCTTTTCAGGAACCTTTTACGTTCACGGGAACAATAAGACAAAATATTGACCCTACTGAAGTGTGTGGAGACCAGCAAGCATGGGAAGCCTTGGAAGCCGTAAGTTTCTTCTTTATTCTCTTCCTACAATCAATTTGGACTCTCTATGTTTCTGCTACATATGTTTTTCTTCTTAAGATGCTTGCAGCACCCTCCTACATCAGACCAGTTTAAGTTGCTTCTACAGTTTGTATAAATGCAGATATTAATTACTACACTTCTGAGGTAAAAGGGTTAGGATCAGTGCTTAAGAATACAGATAAATATCTGCAGGCCTAATCACAGTTTAAAGAACGTTTGGCTTTAGCTTCTAGTGGTCATCGTTTCCATTCCGTGTGAAATTTCGGGTCAATGTGAAAATACTTGAAGGTTGACTCAAACCAAGGCAGAAGAGAGATTGCTACAGGAGGTTCAACATTGAACTCGCCATATGCAGACCAAAAAATCCATCCTCAAGCTAGCCTCGCTACAAAGTTTGGTTTAACCCAACTTTTCTCTTCAAACTAATAGTGAAATATTATTAATTCTCGTCCGAGTCCTCGAATAGCTCTATAATTTGTTGTTTTTAGATAATCAGGTAGAAAGATAATCTCCTTTTGGTAGATATTGATGGTTAATTGTATTCACGTTCATGCTATAAGAAAATTTTGAATCGCAAGAAGCTTTGCGGCTGTTTTTTTGCTTTACTACTTCGTTATTCTTGTTCTTTACACTGTGGATAGATTCTTGTGACCTAAAAAAAGCAAGAATTAACACAAACGTTATTCTTTTATAGGTGGACCTACGAAAAATGGTTGAGTCTATTCCTGGAAAATTGGATGGCAGCATCTGCGAAGGTGGATGCAATTTGAGTGCTGGCCAGCGACAACTGCTCACTTTGGCCAGAACGATTATCAGAGGAAATAAGATTCTTGTGATTGACGAAGGTACTGCCAGCGTAGACCCAACGTAAGTTAAATGAGAGTTTTATAGATGCATGATAGTTTAGCATCAAGAATAAATAAATAATAAATCGTTCCCCAAAAAATTTTTACGTAATTATTTTTGTGCTTATTTTAAACGTAGAAAGCCTCAACTTATTAACATAATTTTATAAAGAGGTTGTTTGACCTTGTTTTCGCAACATGGTCATATTGGTATGAAGACTTATTGGAACACATCTAGTCCGGAGTCCATTGTCTGCATGATCATTTTCAAAGTTGAACCATGAACGTGGTACATTCCCAAACGTTTTGCCTGCTTCGTAGTCGGCATCGTCAATGACTATCGCCATCCTTAGCATCATATAACAAATCGTCAAAGAGACAAGTGAAGCCGATCCTTTGACCAGAAGTGTGCTAAACAATTGTGGTATCGCCCCTTCTGCCCTGGGTTATTCGAGTTTCCGGTAGTATCA